TTTTTTACTTCACGCTACATAGTATTTTTCAAATTAATTTTGCAAGGAAGAGAAAAAAAAAAGAACTTCACTGAAAGGCTACATTATCAGTATATGGATCCCGCGATGGTAAAAATTGATTCACACTACATCTAATCGGGCAGTACTTTTCGAATCAAACCCTGGATATATGTGCTAAAAGTCTCCATTTTTTTTTACTTCTTGGGAACTCTCAGTTATGTCTTTGTTTTTTTTTTTCCCTTTTTTTGGCCTTTTTTTTTATTTCTATCTTATTTCATGTCGCTTTTGCTTTTACATAGGGAGTAGTTGCAGAGACCAAAGAGTGAAGTTAAAAGCAATCAAACCCATCACTCCATTTTCCTTTTCTTTTTTTTTTCTCTTATGGTTCATGTTCCATCCTTGTCTTCGTCTGCTTCGATCTGTGTCAATGTTAACTACTGCAGTGTTCAACGTATTTCTTCATACACCCTTATGCCTATATATATATATATATATGCACACACATGTATGTATGGTCTTCCATGATCAAGTTTCGGTGGTGCGTAAAGAGCAAAGAAACGACGTTTACAGGTGTGTGTGTGTGTATATGCTCTGTTTTTATCTTTCTCTATATCTAAATATTCGTTTTTGATTCTTAGATATATTGAAATATGATTTGGTAAATGTTAAGGTTTTGTGTGTTGTTGGTGTACCTAAAGACATATAATACATCTTAGGGTTTGATATCATGATTCATGATGAGAAATACGTTGAATAATTTCGAGTGTTGGACCCATTATGTCATATATATATAATAAACCTTTGTGTTCTCGCCATTTTGTGTAGATGCACGCATATTTGTGCATATCTCTACGTCCATGGGTCTTGAACTCATTCTGTCGGTTCAAGAAACACAAATTTTTTTAGGAAGTGCCGAAGATTTCGCTCGATAGGTCCACAATGTTTTTAGAAAACAAAAATGTAATACATTTTCTTAAATTTGCTGACAGCTTTTCCCCATGCGTTCTCTATGTATTGATATTTCTTATTTCCATTATATTTTTTTTCACGTTTTAAGTTTCTCTATGTTATCAGATTTTACATTGGTTTAGATTTAGACTTTGAATGGTAATAGTTTTTATTTTCATTTTTTTGTTGTTGTTTTTTTATTTTTAGTTTTTGATTTTTGAATTTTGATTTTTGGTTTTTGGTTTTTGTAAATAAAAAAAATTAGTTTTTAGTTGATTTTTTTTATGGGATTGACTTTTCAAAATTTTAAAAAAACTACTTTTATAAAAAAATTGATTTTAATTTTTTTGAGTTTTTGGATTTAAAATCTCAAAGCCTATTATATTCAAGGTCTTATTTTTTTTTTTATAATTAGATGAGTATAGAGTTAAATCAAAATCTAAACGAATCGAAAGTAAGAATTTATATGGCCGATTCCAAATAAATTTGGGATTAATTCGATGTTGATGTTGATAATTGGATAGGCATAATGTTCTTTCCATAGAACAGGGGAACATAATATCGTACAAGATTCGGAGTTTATGAATGTGAATACGAATTCGTACCAAACAAAACAAAACCATATCAGGAGGTCAAGCAAACTTGAACAAGAATTGCTCTATCCTTCACACCCAAATATTGATATGTAAACACTGATATTACATATTAATAAAGTGATATTTGTTTGTAGAAGATTGTGGTAGGAATAATATATATGACCGTTCATATATTCATATATATATATATATAATCAAATCCTATTTAACTGTCCGATGTTAGATATGAGTTGAGATTTTCGAAATTTCAAGATTCGAGGTTAGACATTTAGGAGACTCTTGTGTTCTTAAATTAATCCTTCGGGTCTTATTAGGTTGTAACGCTCAAACTCTCATTGGGAATTTCATCTGCTGGTTTGATTCCGATGTAATAAAACTACTCATATGCATTTTTGGTATAGTGCCATTACATATATATAGTATTGTAAAATGGGTTTGTACAAGATTCATACACTCTATACTATTCGTATAGTGTCGTGATTCTCATTGACTCAGCGAATGAAAATGTGTTGGAAGAACGCAGGAAGTCATGAGTTAAATTAATACGAACAGGAACATCGCAAAGTGCGTGTATATACAAAAGTGGAGTTAATGTGCTCTAATTCTTAACTTAAATTCCTCAAGTTTTGTCATATATATATATGTATGCATGTATGTATGCATGTATGCATGCATGTATGTATGTATGTATATTGCAGGTGCAGATGAGGGAAATGAGTCCAGAAACATTTCTATGGCAGTAGAATAAGGTAAGAGGAAGCTATTTCACTTTTCATTTAACGTTGAAACCGCTTTTTTATCCGTTGTTCGATCGGTTATTATGTTGATGGATATACCACGAGATCTCAACCGAGAGAGTCGCCCTTAATTTCGTTTCGAATTCGAATCCAAAATCACGGATATTTTTGCATCAAGATCGATTCTTGTAGATCAAAGTCCAAAATCAGTAGCATATGTATGGTTTAACTCAAATAAAATAAAATAAAAAACATTCCTAACCATAGTATGGTAAATGCAGGTATGAATGCTGTGAAAACAATGGGATTAAAGACCGATCATGATTTCCTATGTTCGTGTGGAAGCTTCTTTACTCGGATTTACAATCACTACATTGAAAATCAGTAAGTATATATAGCCTTCTTCAAATCTCATATTGGCTTGCCTTGTCTGTCATCTCATTCTATTTGCTTATATACACACATGCATTACATATATACTAATACAATCGAATTATAAATCTCATTATCATAAATTAAGATAAATATATATACACAGCGAACAAGTGACAATGCAAAAGAAGACACACCTCATGATGAACTAACCATACCCATATTCATATTAGCAACTTAACCACAACAAAGGTACTAAAATAACGCACTTCAAGCCCTAATTAATTTAAACAAATTGGCAGGACAATCTCTCTAGCTAGTTCAAACAATCATATATATACATATATATATACACACACATGACACTTGAGCAAGGCTTGGCATCGGCAAAACCACAATGCCAAGCCTGTTAGGGCAAAAGATCTTCAGTAGAGTTGTTCGAATACGGACCATGATGAGTTGTAGTTTCTCTCCATGTTACATGTGTGATTTGTGGAAGCTGATAGTGTTGTTTGTCGGTTTTGGAACATTGTTGAGCTTCTTGTCGCCATTGGAATAATTTTTGAGACATTAGGTTTTTGAGCAAGAGAGGAATAGGCTCCATCAAGATTAGGGTTTTGAGACTGAGCTCCTTCACTAACTCCAGTGCTCCGATTTCAAGGAAGAACCCTGTGAGATTCCTCGGAATTCTTCCTCGTTGAATCTCCCGAGATCGATGAATAGCTTGATTCACTATCAATCCCAAGAAACTTCTCGATACTGCGGAGTGCATCCATTTGACACTCTAGGAAATTTAGCAACCCTTGTTCTTGGCTTTGTTCTTCCATATCGAGTCTTGTTTCTTGGCTCCAATTAGGACAAAGATCCTCCTGTGTTTCTTTTGAAGTACCGTGGGAACCTAACTGCCGGCCCGAATCATCAGAGTTGGTTTCTTGACGATGACAAAATGCTCCGGACATCATTCCAAAGGCTGATCCCGATCTGATGTTCCTCCGCTTGGTCATCGTTCTCTCGCGAGCCCGTCTCCTCGCCTCGTTTCTTGATTCCTTGGTCCTCGTCGGCCTCTGCACAATCTTTGTTGTCCTTCTTCTCGTCCTCCTAATTCCGGCCGTACCCTCTTGAGCTTCGAGTTCAACCGTTTCGTTTCCGACATATCCATGTTCTTGTCCTCCTCCGTGTCTTGGTGCAGACACGCTTCCCAGGAGCTGCATGATCGAGGCCTCGGACACGGAGAGTAACCAAGCTATTGTCATGCTTCCCTTATCGAAACCCAACAAGTCTTGGAGATGGAAGAACTTGTGAGCAACCACAGTAGATAACCTCATACGACGCGCCCTAAGACCGTTGGCCGTCTGGATTTTCTTGTGTCTGTCTTTTGTTCTTCTTCTCTTCCTTGGAACCTCCTCCTCTTCCTCCTCTGCCCCACCGCCTTCTTGCGAAGTGGTGTTAGAACAAGAACCGAGGTTGTGATCTTGCTGCTGAAACCCCAATTTGTTCATCATCAAGGAATTGCCATTGCCAGCAAAAGCTTCGAAAGAAGGGGTGAATGGCGAATGCTGGTGACGATTGTAATCAAGGCTAGGGTTTAGGATTGTTGTGGTTGTTTGACCGAGATTGGGAGGATCATACAGTATGTAGCCATTGTTGTCTAAAAACGAAACCATTGGTTTGTTTGGACAATTCAAGAGAGAAAATAATAGGGGGGGAGAGAGAGAGAGAGAGACTTTAGGTATTCTCACGAATTTGGTTGCAAGAACAGTGGGAGAATGCGTGCCCTATATTTTATATAACATAAGAGCTATTAAGTTGAAGAAGAAAGAAAGAGTGGTAGTGGTAGAAGAACAGTAAGATGTCTTTCCGCATGATGTCGATATTTATCCATTAATAATAATAATGATAATAATAATAATAATAATCTCTCCTGTGGCTCTCTTTGGAGAACTCATATGTCAAATAAATTAAATTCCACTTTTATCTTTGTATGATTTTTCTCTAACCGGGGCGCTTTTATTCAAAAGGTTAAAATTAGGGTTGGCCATTTTATTTATTAACTAAATAGTGGAACCGAATATATAATTGTAATTTAACTGAATTTTATATAAAAATCGAACGGATATAATTTTTTAAATCCAAAAAATTGAAAACGAATCGAACCGAATTGAAAAATAACCGAAGCGAAATTTATATAAAAACCGAATGGTTATAATTTTTTATAACCGAAATAACCGAGTTAAATTCAAACCGAAATCCGAAATAGAACCCAAAGTTAAAACATAGACTATAAGAACCAAATAGAGATTTAAGTGAGTGAATATAATGCTATACATTTATACAACTAAAATCCCATACGTCATATATCACTAGTTGTTTAACAATCACATCATACACGGAAATTTTTCCACTAAATCTTTTTTTTTTAAAATTTAATACAAATAATTTTCTTTATACATGTGTAAGCATATAATTGTCAGAATTCCGAATTCCAATTGCATCAATTTATTTCTCTTTTTAAAACATTTTGTTTTCATTTTTTTGCCAACATTTGTTTCAATTTTTTTTTCTCTTTTTTTTTTACAGCTTTCATTTTTACAGGGAAAAAGTGAGGTCTAGGGTCCTATCCAATTGACACTTCACGTGGGCTTTGGTCGTTGCTTGATAGCAACCCTAACTCTCAATAGCATACGAGAATATTATGATATGGGTCAGATAATATGAAAATTATTGATGATCTATCAAAAGATCTCAATAATTTTTCTAAAATTTGAGTTGATTTCCTTAGGGTTTCCATCTTTTAATTCCATGCTTTATTTTTTATTTTTGCTAGCTCGCGTGATGTGGATGCATCTCTTGCACATACATACGCCGATTTTAATTAGATTTTTTTTCTTGTAATTGTATACCTAAATAGCTTTTGGGATATTATGTTGAGGGAGACATCGCCTCGTCTTCTAATTTGTTATTAATGTCTAATTTTATTTTATTTTCCAAAAAAAAATGTAGCTGTTCAACCATTTAATTGGTACGCGAAATCGATTTTGATCAATGATTAAAACATGAAGTAGACCCAAATGGACTTTACATTTGTTTTTAATCCTCCGAGTGAATTTCCATAAAATCTTTCAATGTTTATTATTATTATTATTATTAGGGCTGGAAGAGAGAGGCAGAGTCTAGGGGACCATAGGGCCATTTCACATTGTTTTTACACCACATATCTTTGCTTTGACTGCCTTGACCACATCTCACCCTATCTCTACTTCGTCATCAATTATATATATATATATATATATACACACTTCTTTTAGAATATTTGCCCTTAAGATTCACGTTCAAAAATCTTATGTTAAGTAGCTGTCTTCATACTGCAGATAAGAGATTACAACAGTTTCACATATTGTGTTTCAACCAAATACCTTTTCTTCAATGATTAACCACATGTAAGGGTTTTGGTCTCTCTCTCTCTCTATATATATATATATACACACACACACTTTGACGTTGAGAATCAGATATTGTATCTTTTTTGGTGATTTTTCGAAACTCCAACAAGAGTATACACCGCTATGTACGAGTAATCAACCATCGATTCTAGAGTTATAGAAGATGAAATTTTATGGTCCTCTCGAAGAGGGGATCAAAAGCTAAATTTGATCTTTGGGTGAAATGTCCAAATAGCTTTATTCCCTTCCCGATTCTTGATTTTGGGATAAGGAATCCTATCGATTTGTTGGGGTTCAAAGTGGTTTCTCGTTACATGTAGTGTCCTTTCATAACCATTTGCACGTTTGAATATATCCATAGAAAGCTCTTTACAACAAATATTTGTGTGTATATATATGTATATGTATTCGACAGTGTGTTAGGTAACTGTAAATCAAGAAGTTGGGTTTCTTTTGTGAGATGGGCCAGAGCATCAATGCATGCTCGTACCTTCGATTATTGAAGTTGAGCCGTGTGACAGTGCACTGTTTCCTCCATATGGAAATATGCTCCCAAGAATTTTGTGTATACAAATGGGAACAGAAGCCGATTCTTGGAACCAGCTTTAAAGTTGCAAAACCATTTTTTCTTTCACCCGCCAAACATATATATATATATATATTTTAATCTAGTACACACACTCACATACACAAATATAAAAAGTAAGTTCACGCACCACTAGACGCACATATACCCCAAATATGTCACAAAACCCTAATCCAAACGTGTTGATGTAATTTTGTTTGGGTTTGATAACGTATTCTACTTACAAAAAAATTGTGCTGAATTTTAAGATTCGAATCTAGGCAGAAACAAAAAAAAAAATTTACGTGTTATTGATCTATAAAAAATATATAATCATTTATATAGTTCTTTTCTACCATTCAAATTAAATCGATCTAAATTGGTAGTATATTCTAATGAATAAAAATTGTAGAAATATAAAAGGGTCGCCAAAAAAAGAAGAGGAGAAATCGTTTCTGAACCATGTTGCGTTGTTGATGTCTTTTCTCAATTTCTTTTCTCAGGGTTTAATTCTCCACTTGAGGGGAGTTTGCAAATTGCAAGCGTCGCTTTCAAATATAAAGAGAGAATAAAAGAAGCGTAAAAAACTAAAAGAAAATGCGCAAAGTTTGTCCTCTCGGATGTTGACTGCTTCATTTCATTAATTACATATATATATATATATATATATATATTATATTCTCATCTTTGGATGACACATCTCTATCATCGATTCATCGAACATGCCATTTCCAAGCTCGCATTGAGATCTATCTACTAACTCGGGATTCCATGGAATATGCAGTTAATTTCATTGATAAGATTAACCACTTTTGAATCAAGAAAATGACATATAAAAGAATGGGAGCCTAATAATATATGGTCTAGTAGCATTTTATTTATTCCCATACATCATAATCTTTTTTTAATAACAGTGAAATCTCATTTAAGTTAGGGGACTGCAAAAAAAAAATTATGAAATATCTTTTTTTAGTGATTTTTTATTAGTTTTTTTGGTAATCTTGTAATAAAGTAGTATTGCATTGTCAAATTCTCATGGATTTGCCCAATTGGGTCAGGTGAGTTGGTTGAGTAGTCTATGATTCTCCAAGAGTTCGATTCCATTCACGTGTGAGTTTGTCACCTTTTGGATGGTTTATCTGTTCCACGTAGTTTGCAAGTTATTGTGTGGAGCCGGAGGATTTATCATCGTGTTCGAAGGACTGTGGTTGAGTTTCTGTTGTAATTTTTAGAGTAAATGAATGGGGTTTGATAATAATCTCTCAAAAGATTCATATTTATATGTATTACGAATATGGTGGAGAAGTTATATATTCGTAAATGATATAGTATGAATTGGTAAAGTATATACATGTGTTTGGTAAAGTATATACTTGTATTTAGTAGAGAAATTTAAGTGCAGAAATTCTGCACGGGCTACAACACGGGCGTGTTAATTCCAACACGGACAGTGTTAGATTCAACACGGGTTGTGTCAAATGTAACACGGGTGTGTTGATTGCAACATGGCTGTGTTAGATTCAACACGGGCTGTATCAATTCTCTGAGAAAATATTATTGTTTGCTCAGACATTTGACACAGACCGTGTTAGGTGTAACACGAGCCGTGTCAATTCTCTGAGAGAATGTTATTTTTGCATAGACATTTGACACGGACCATATCAGATTCGATACGGACCGTGTTAAATGTCTGGAACATGAACAAATGTGATTTTTCGCATGAAAACTACTAAATTGATGCAACTTTTGATGATGTCTCTGGTGATTTATAATTAAAAATGCCAGAGAATGTAAAAGACATGAGATCCAATTCTTTTTGAGAGATTTTGAGAGCACTTTCGGTAGTTTCTTGCAAAAACTCTCCCGAAAGCTTTCGTTCATCTTCTTCTTCACGTTTCCTTGTTTGTTCATTATTGAACGAGCAATTCTAGAACGTATTTCTCTTCATTGTATCTCAGAATCGTATTCCGGTAGTCCTTGCTCATAACGGACGGAATAACGGTTTTAGAAAAGTGTCTTCACGCCTTGAAGAGATATCTGGTCCCTCGGTTCGATTTCGTTCTCGTTTTTCCGTTGTTTTTTCCTCTAGATTTTCTAACAATCTAAAACTGTTATCCACTCGAGGATGATATCTTCTGTGAGGGATTTGGCTATAAATTTTCACAAACTCGACAAATTCGAGGGCGTGGGCTTCAGGCGGTGGCAGAAGAAGATGCACTTCTTGTTGACAACGCTGAATGTCGTCTACGTCATCAGCACGCCCAGATCGGAAGAGACCGAAGAAGAAACTTGGCGTAGACACGTATACGGAACAAATGGGACAACGACAACTACGTATGTTGCGGTCATATTCTCAACGGTATGTCAGACGAACTCTTTGATGTATATCAACACATAGACACGGCGAAAGCCCTGTGGGAATCGTTGGAGGCTAAATACGTCTCGGACGATGCCTCCAGCAAGAGATTTCTTGTAAGTAGTTTTTAACTCTTACAAGATGGTTGACTCGAGATCGGTTATGGAGCAATTCCATGAATTATAGAGGACACTAAGTCAGTTTACACAATACAAACTACAAATGGATGAAGCTATAAAGGTTTCCTCCATTGTTGACAAACTTCCACCGAATTGGAAGGATGTCAAAAGTTTCCTAAAGCACCGAAAAGAGGACATGACCCTTGAGCAATTGGGATCACATCTTCGCATAGAGGAGGATCTCCGGATGCAAGATGGTAAAGGTGTTTCTCCTCCATCCACGGTTAATGTGGTAGAGGAAGAGAAACGCGGGGCCAAAAGGCAAAACAAGAAACCCTCTAAAGGTAATACCAAGAAGAAGACAAAGTCAGATGTGACTTGTTGGTTTTGTAACAAACTGAGTCACTTCAAGCGGGATTGCTACTCATAGAAGAAAAAACACGGGAAGAAGAGTGCAGATGGTCAAGGGAAAGACCTCGACCAACCCACTCAAGGTAAGAACGATTGTTTCTTGACAAATTCTATTATGAGTTTTGTTGCTATGATTTATGAATTAAATCATGTTCAGGAGGGTGACCAATCTTGGTGGATCGATTCGGGTGCAACCCGACACATATATAAGGATGGTGGACTCTTCAAGGCTTTCAAAGTTGTTGAAGACGGAAGCATTCTTTACATGAGAAACGACTCTACGGCAAAGGTCCAAGGCATAGGACAAGTAGAGTTGTTGCTTACGTCCGGAAAATCTCTCTCTTAAGGATGTACTGTACGTTCCGGATGTGCGAAGGAACTTAGTGTCGGGTTGTGTACTGAATTGGTTCGGGTTTAAGATGGTGTTTGAGACCGATAAATTTATCATTTCTAAAGGAGGAGTGTTTGTGGGGCAAGGCTACCTATGTAATGATATGTTCAACTTCAGTATTAATAAAATTATTACTTCTTCTTCATTTATTGTTGATGATTTTAATGTTTCTATGTTGTGGCATGCTAGATTAGGACATGTTCATTACAAACGTGTTAATCTTATGTCGAAAATGGATTTAATTCCACCATGCACATTGAATGATGAAAAATGTATTACATGCATGAAAAAAAAAATAACCCGTCATTCTTTTTCTAGCATAGAACGGAGTTCGAAAATATGGGAACTAGTACATAGTGATCTATGTGACTTGCATAGTACACCGTCTTTAGAAAATAAAAAGTACGTAGTAACATTCATAGAAGATTCTACTCGATTTTGCTACGTATTTTTATTGTATTCAAAGGATGAAGCTCTTGACAGGTTTAGAACGTATAAATCCGAGGTTGAGTTACAACTCGGGGTTAAGCTAAAGAAGCTTAGGACCGATAGGGAAGGGGAATACTATGATCCTACGTATTTTGAATCCGTAGGAGTGATTCATGAGACTACCGCACGTTACACACCGCAACAAAATGGTGTAGCAGAAAGAAAAAATAGGGTCTTGAAA